CAAAAAGATGGCTACCAGATGATCTTCTTAGTGTTCACTGGCAGTAAACACTGATGGAAAATTCTGGCTGTTCATCCATGTCTGGACTTTGGTCTTGTTCTTAGACTTGAGTTTGGCATGCGCATTTGTTTAAAATATCTGGCTTATTTTATGCAGATTTGTTTCCTCGCATATCATGCAGATGCACTGTGAGCCAAAAAAACTCCTCTAATTAGTCCCTTAATACGACATGCTTGTTAGGGAGTCAGTGGCTGTATTCTTCTCCCTTATTCCCCCCCCCCCCCCTTCCATGGCACCATAAAGCCAATTTGCCTGTAGACGTGGTAATTGGTTCTTTTACTAGCACCATTAAATACCAGCTGGGGGAAACGTTTGTTTATGTCTTCTTCTTCGCGTTCTCCAGTTATAAACTCCAGGAGAAAGTTCTGAGTGTTTGTCCACAACCTCAGTGTTATCTGCCTATCCGTTTTACAGATCTGACTTATTTGTATGCAGGCTCCTTGCCTCCCGGGCAGATATACTTTGACTTCAGACGATGTTGGCTCCTACAACATGCTTTTTGGGGATGCAGTGGCGTCTGTTCTTGTCTTGTTTTCCCGACAATGGATCCTTGAAACTCACATGGAGATCTCATCAACGATAACTCAGACGAAGCAGATGTACTGATCTACACAGACATCTGTTATTTGACAACAAAGAAGTGCATAGGCGTTCACAGCATGCTCAGCGGGCAAAACAATCAGAGAAGGCAGCGGTGCCTTCTTCATGACAGCAAGCAGCTTGAGGATGGAGGTGATGGTGGTAACGCAAGCATTCGTATGGCTAAGAACACAAGACTATACCCAAGCATGTGTACTTAGTGATTCCATGAGCATGATCCAGAAGATCCAGGCAGGTTCTGTACAAACGCAGCGGATGGAGCCATTACAGAAGTCCACTGTATAACGTTGTCTTTATCTTAGTTCCAAGGCACGCGGGCATTGATGGAAACAAGAGGGCTGATAATTGGCTAGATCCGCTATCGCTGCTGAAGGTCAACTCATGGATTTTGCTGATATTATTAACACCCTCAGAGAAGTGGGAAGGGCGAGGACTTTTGAGGCAGCGATTCCACATCGCTCAGCAGAATGAAAGATTCAGGAGTTAAGATCGGCATAGCCAAAAGCGAGAGACACACTTATCAGTCAACAAAGAACTGGCACTATTAGTCACAGGAAACTGGGGTTCATATTGAGGAAAGGATCTGAACACCTATGGTCATGTCCCGAGTGCAGTGATCATGACCAACTAACTAACAATTTTTAGAGTAAAGGTTTTGTGTAATTACTTACTTGCTATGTTGTATGGTTTTTGTTTTTTTACATTAGTTATGTTCACAAACTTCTTGATTTCCAGCACTGAGTCTTGGGATTACCCTGTTGTGTCTGTCCAGTGCACATGCATTCTATGGACCCGGGGATGATGTTGTTGAACTCACACCCAGCAATTTCCACAAAAATGTCATAGATGGTAAAGAACTCTGGCTGGTGGAATTCTATGCTCCTTGGTATGTACAGTGTCTTTTGTAAAAAATGTAACACCTAAAACAAACAAAAAAGGTGCCTGTGCTGCATACCATTGCGTGCCACTATAAAAAGGCCCTGGTTAGGATATACTATGTCTTTTGTTTCCTTCATTTTCCTGTCAGGTCTTGGTTCTTCTTCTTCTCCTCTGCCTCTTCCTGTTCCTACTGCTTCTTTGTTCGCCTTTAAAAGGGCGGATGGTACTTTGTTGTGTTCTGCTAGGCTGCAGTATCTGTGTATTTTGGCTTAACTTCTGTTTTCTGCAAACATGCTTGCTTAACTCTTTGAATACCAAAGAACTCATCATGATTTGATTTAGAACTAATTTAACTATCTTCTGGTGTCGAAAGAGTTCAGAGGTAAGAGTTTTCCCCCCTGCTCCAACAATGCCTTTTGGGCCCTAGAACCCATACAGGGAATGTTATGATTTTAGTTGGCAGCTTACGGGTTGTGAACACAGTTTCACAAACCGGACACTGTCGGAGATCGGTAAGAGGTCGCTAAACTTTGACTTTGATAACTGTGTGAGCATCATACCATTTAGAAAGTCTTAACAAATTACTTAATATTAATTTGCCTAAAAAAACATACAAGAATTAGTAAATTATGGTACTGATTTGCAAAGTTGCTAACTTTAACATAGATTCTGATTTGAAGTATTAGTCATTGTCATCGTTAACCTTGGGGTCAGAAAAGACTCAATTGAATTATTTTCGGCTGTGACACAGTCCCGTAAAGGCTAATGTCATGTATGCAGTAAACTGTTCTCAGAAAGCGTAAAATTCCATGGGTCCTATATGTTCAGTGCTTAAAAAGTAACTGAAAATATTTAAGAATTGTGGGGGGGGGGGGGGGGGGGGGGGGGGGGGGGGAGGGTGTTCCACATGACCCGAACGCTTTTTTTAAAAAAGCCAAGTTGTCAGATTTTCTTGTAAGCTTCAGTGATAATGTCATGTGGTCATGGTGAGATGATGCGTCTTATTATTCGTGCTGATTCACTTTGATATCCACTGAGTCTCATGGTTATTTTTCTATTTGTTTTGTGAAGGTGTGGACACTGTCAATCTCTAACCCCTGAGTGGAAGAAAGCAGCTTCAGCTCTCAAGGTAAGGAACCTATCAGTGTGGAGTTTGTCCAGCAGCTTGGCATAATCACTGATGATTTAGTGTGTTGTTTCTGCCTTTCAGCTCCCAGTGGAGCATAGGTTCTCAAGGTAAGGAACCTATCAGTGTGGAGTTTGTCCAACAGCTTGGTATAACCACTGATGATTTAGTGTGTTGTTTCTGCCTTTCAGCTCCCAGTGGAGCATAGGTTCTCAAGGTAAGGAACCTATCAGTGTGGAGTTTGTCCAACAGCTTGGTATAACCACTGATGATTTAGTGTGTTGTTTCTGCCTTTCAGCTCCCAGTGGAGCATAGGTTCTCAAGGTAAGGAACCTATCAGTGTGGAGTTTGTCCAACAGCTTGGTATAACCACTGATGATTTAGTACGTTGTTTCTGCTATTCAACTCCCATTAGAGCATAGGCTCTCGACACACTTCCTGTTTGTATAATTTTTTTCTTTTTCTGTGTTCACCCTTAAAAAGGACAGTTAGCCGGCTGTGTTATGCTGACAGGTAGGTTGTGAGTAGATTGGAGGCTGGAAATTAACTTTATTCTGAATGCACATGGGAACAAGACTTTATTCTTGATGGTTGAAATTTGCAGCTGAAGTTTTCTACTGAATAAGATAGCCAGCCTGGAGCCAACCTTTCTTAGTCACCTCTTATGACACATGTAGTTGGTTATAGTGTTACTGTTCTTCCTTTATGGCCAGGTAACACATGCATTTTTTTCTGTGCTCCATCATCATGTAGCAGAACGTCTCATCATGGTCTGCCAGAAAAAACCTCTGTCTCCTGCCAGCTCTCCCGCCTCGTGCACTTTCCTACCCAAGGTGTCACTTATTTCCTGTGCCCATCTTTGTGCTGGTTGGTCAATTCCCCTCTTTCAGTAATTTTTTTTTTCCAGTCCACAGTGGCGCTTGATATGGTCAAAATATTTTTATTTCAGAGACAAGATGTTATTTACAGGCCAATATTCCTTGATGTTCAGATTATTTAGGATGACAAGCACTATTTGCTTCCTTAAGGACTGTGAGATAGTCCCCGTCCTACATGCATATTTTGTATAGGAAAGATGCATGCTCTCAGAATTGTGACTTTGATTTCCTCACTGATTCTTAACCAGACATTTTAATGATGATTTATCTTTGGCATTGCTATGGCCATCCTCCTTGTGACTTCTAATGTTCAAAGTTTGCGACAATTTCAAAGTTTTTTATAATTTATTGTTATTTTTGGGTGACAGGCAGCTTTGTCTATGGCTGATATTTTTTTTGTTCTTTAAATTCAAGATCATGTTTTGATCTTTAATGTATTTTTGGACAGACATCATTAAATAGTCTATTCCCTTTACACTGTTCAAAAGTGACAGCGAAGTTCCAGGATAGAGTTTCCGTCAGTTATGAGCAGATCAACTGTCACACGTGCTTGGTTACCTATAGTTTCTTTTCAAGTGCTTTGCCATCTCTAGATTACTAGTACGTTTACTTTCTGCCATCACTTCTTTATTCTGCTTTTCATATTATCGCAATTATTTTGGGCTTTTCAAAACTGGCCACAAGAGTCTTCTTCTTCTTCTGCCTTTCTATCCCCCAATGGAGCATAGGCCCTCAACCAACTCACGCCAAGTCGTTCTATCCTTCGCCATTGCATGGAGCTCTCCCCATGTCCTCCCAATCTTTCTAACCTCGTTCTCCAGCTCTCTTTTCCATGTGTTTTTTGGCCTTTATTCCTATGCCCCTGTGGGTTCCAATGCAAAGACATTCTAGTAATGCTGTTATCCTGTTTTCTCAGTGTGTGCCCTATCCAACGCCAGCGTCTTTTCCTCACTTCCTGATCCACTGGAGCCTGTTTAGATCTCTCCCAAAGTTCTACATTAGTTATTCTATCATACCATTTTATTCCTTCTATTCTGCCCAGGCACCAGTTAATGAATGTCTGTAATTTATTAGTAATTGCCTTGGTTGTTCTCCATGTTTCCGCCCCATACAATAGTACTGATTTGACATTAGAATTAAAAAATTTTTAGTTTAGTATTTCGTTTAATTTCTCTTGACCTCGGCCAAAAGAGTATTACATCTAAAAGGAAACTAATTATCCTATGTTCTGAGTGACTTGCATGGCTTGATAAGACTGGGATCAGATAATGGATTTTCTGCCTAGGGTATTTGGTGGTGAAGTACACTGAGCAGGCTGATAGATTGGCTGCTGGGAGCTAAATTTTTGTTGAAGTCCAATAAAGGATGTACTGCTGTCTTTTTAACCTTAGTTTGATTAAGTTTTGATACATATCACGCTGATGCAGGCATCTTGCCGGGCATGAGTGAGATTTCGTGTCGACTCCCATTCATGTCATGGCTTTTTTGTGTGTTCTAGAGTTGCTAGCAAATGCGTTTCTTCCTCTTCGCCGTCTATACACACCGTATGTAAAATTGGCTTCCGTTCGTCAGAGGCCCGTGCACGATGAAAGTGCACGGGTATGCTTGTGATGTGTACCCAGTTTTTCTTTGCCCATTTTTACACACTAAAATATGCTGGCTGCTAAGGAAAAAAAAAGTTGACTCCTGGACGATATTAAGTGTTGTCTGCCACTAGTTGTAACTGTTGTTTGTTATTGAGTACATCCTTATTACAGGGCATTGTGAAGGTGGGAGCCGTCAATGCTGATGAGCATCAGGGCCTGGGAGGTCAATATGGAGTTCAGGGCTTCCCTACAATCAAGATATTTGGAGCTGATAAATTTAAACCCACAGATTACCAGGGTGAGCTGTTGAATTCTGTTTCCGTCTGGAGTTTTTCACAGCTTCTTAACATGCATGCTTTCTCTTCTAAATACTTCTTTATATTCTTCTTCTTCTTCATTGCGTTCACCAGCTGTAAACTCTAGTGGAAAGTTCTGCTTGTTCATCTACTTTGTACTGCAGTCCTGTTCCAGAACCTGAGTGTTGCATGTGCATCCGTTTGACAGATCTGATACATTTGTGTGCAGACTGTTGGTTCCTTACCTCTCAGGCAGATGTACTCCGACTTCGAAGGAAGCTCTAATTAGTCGACTCTTACGACATGCTTTTGGGTAGGCAGTTGGGTCTGTTCTTGTTTTCCCTATAATAGGGCCCCGAAACCCACACGGGGATACTTTTTTATATGATATTAGAAGTAAATTATGCAACTGCATGCCTTGAAGCCTTGTGGGCATTTATTGCCAGCCCTATGTTTGTTTAGTGCAGTCGCCACTGGATGGCTGATGTAGTCACAGTCAGCTGTATTTACTTTCTAAACCAATTTCTGGTACCCATTTTTTTGGCTGGGTAAACTAAGGAGTCAGATCACTCAGTGAAATCTGCCTTGTCATGGATTCAAACAAGCAAATCGCGGGAGGTGTCTCATTAGCTGCATTTTCTGTAAAGTTGGACTATCTGCCTGAGAGGCAAGGAACCAACAGTCTGCATACAAATAAGCCATATCTGTAAAATGGGTGTGCTTGTAAAACTCACAAAGTCCAGAAGTGGACGAACAACCAGAATTTTCTGCTGGAGTTTACAGCTGGTGAATGCTAAGAATTAGAAGAAGAAGAATCAAGGATACATAAAATCATTTATCTTTTACTTAGATGTCTGTCACAACGTCTCTGTAAGATGCTTCAACAGTAGAAGTTGTGCCTGCAGCTGTCAGTTGAGTTGAGTCAAGAATTCACATCACAGCACTCAGGGCATTCCCATGCATGCTCCGTCCTCATCTTCAGCAGCCAGCGCAGAGTTCCAATACTGATGGTACAGTCACAGTCTAGTTATATGCCCGTCTTGCCTTTCCTCTGAGTGTAGCCAGCAGCCAGCGCAGAGTTCCAATACTGATGGTACAGTCACAATCTGGTTATATGTCCGTCTTGCCTTTCCTCTGAGTGTAGTGAGCCGGCCAGACCCTCTGGTTACACCCAGATGCCTCATTCTCTCAGGCCATAATAACCTTCTGCAGTTGTCAGTTAAATACACAGTACATATCTAGGCAAATCAGATAGATTTGTTATTGAGGTAAAGAACAAAATAGGACAAGTAACGACTGCATTTTACAAAATGAAAGTCTTAGTTAATAAATCTCTATTGTTAGATGTTAAAAATATACTTCTGGCCTTGAAAAAAACTTTAAATTTTTCATTTCCAAGCAGCTCTTTATAATTTTATTAGTTTTTCAACATGCAGAAAATATTTTTTAACTTTTGTTTCATTCTGCTGTTAATTTAACCCATTCTTTCCCAGTGGTTACTTTATTTCATCCTTACTTCAGGATAAAAAAGTGAAGCAACAACTACCTGAGTGTAAAAGAGTTGAAAATCCTTTTAAATGTTCTAAATTTTTTTTCTTCTTCTTATAGTCAATGCCTTGTGGTGTTGGTAGTCATGTTTATCCACAGCCTTCTATCTCATGCACTTTCAATCAGTTCTGACTGATGATTTTCCATACCATGATGTCAGACTGTCCAGCATCTTCTCTCTCCGACTCTCTCTGCCCCCCCCCCCCCTATTCCTTGCTCACGATGCACTCCAGTATTTTCTTCTTTTGCTGACCTGACCGAAGAATTTGGATTGTCTCCTTCTAATGAGAGCAATTATTTGTCCATCGTATTCTCAACATTTGTACGTAAAACACATTTCCGCCGTTTGCAAAATTTTTCACTAATTGGCCAGCTGTCAGGATTCACTTTTTTTTAATCGGGATCAGATTTATAAAGCTCTTAAGAATAAAAGTTACTCTCCGCAGAACACCTAGCCACCTGCAGAGAGTGCGGCACAGAGCACAAACTCACTAGCTCCGGCGATGATCCCCATGGATCTCCATAAAAATTGCACCCATGAACTGAGGGTCGCAGCTGTGAAACGAGCCCATGACCTTCAAAGCGCTAAGCAAACGGCTTGACCACATTGCCACACAAACCCCACCCCCCACCTTGCTCTTGAGAATTCTCTTTCTCCCTTCATTGAAATAAAGATTGCGTAAAAGTTGCTTGAGCTGTTGTACATGTTTTTTGTTTAAACCCTAAGTTAATGAAATGGTTGTACTTTGGTGTTTCCAGGTGGACGTACAGCTCAGGCCATTGTTGATGCTGCCTTGAATGCTGTGAATAGTTTGGTAAAATCCAGGCTGTCTGGCAAAAGTGGAAGTAGTAGTGGTGGTGGTGATGGAAGCAAGGTATTAATTGTGTTTTCTCATTTGTCTAAAAAAAAATTTCAACATCTTTGCTAATTTTCTAAAATTTTTAAAGAATGCTAAAACTTTAGTGGAATAATCTCCAGTGCTGAATTATATGTCATTTGTCCAGCTTTGTTAAAACATAATTAATCTTTAATGCTAATTTTATTCTAAAACGTGTCATTTCCACAATGGAAGTTAACTGTAGTGCATCCACTATCTTTGTGAATATTACATTGTGAGGTTTTATTCTCTCCCACAGTGTGACTCTCGTACCACTGTCCAAAAACCACCAGGATATCTCACTAATTTTGTAAATGATTTATTTTAAGCATGTTAAAACAGTGGCATAAATCTCCAGTATTGTTTACTGTGATTTTTCTGGAATGTTTCATCATCATGAATTTCCACTTTAAGCTTCGTGGGGAGGAACGGTTTGGAATCCATTGATTGATGGACAGCAGTGGATATTGTCATTTTGTTTAGATGCAGAAGCTATTTAATGTCATCAGTCCATCTTCTCCTTAGGTGGCCTCTTGCTTTCACTTCAGATCTTTTTCTGTGTAGAGCCTGCATTGGTAGTTGTTCTGGCTGCATTCTTACTAGATGGCCAAACCATTTTGTCTTTTGTTTCTCAATAATTTTGCTGCATGGTGTTGTTCTTAGTCTGTCTAATAATATTATTTCAAAATTTGGCTCGGATAGTTAAGTTGGTGGCTTTTCTCATGCATCTAATTTTTCGTAGGTTAACCCTTGATAATGTCCAAGATTAGCACTGATACGGGAATGTTTAAACATTTTTATTCTGCCTTCTTCTCCCCTAAGGGGGCATAGGCCCTAAACCAGCCGACGCCAGGTCGTTCTATCCATTGCTATTGCTTTCAGCTCTCCCCATGTCCTCCCCATCTTTTAAACTTCACTCTCCATCTCCCTTTTTTGTCTTCCTTTTTTTCTTTGCTCCTGTTGGATTCATTGCAAAGACATTTTTGTTACATCATTCTCAGGTTTTCTCAATATGTGTCTTATCCATAGCCAGCTCCTTTTCCTTCATCTCTTGGTCCACTGGAATGTTAAAACAATACTTGTTTGATAACTTCTCCATTGTTAATATTATAACTACCAATAGATTTATTACCACTGGGTAGTGAGTGATAAGGTGGAGGTTGTGGTAGCTCTGTGAGATCAAATGAACATTGCAGCAAAACATTATCTATACCTGGAAGACTCTGGCTCAGTGTGGAGTGAGAAGGTCTGGATGACGTTCAACACAGGGGACAAGACATGCCTCTGTTTACTCAGACTGCAACTGCCACTTTCATAATGGGAACTTTTTTATTGGAAGAGGGCAGAACACATATGGGAGTGTCCCTACTGCAGTGTTGTCAGTTCTTCATTCATTCTGTACCCAGTTACATTGTCCTTTTGTTATTCTCATTACATTGTCCTTTTGTTATTCTCATTACATTGTCCTTTTGTTATTCTCATTACATTGTCCTTGTGTTATTCTCATTACATTGTCCTTGTGTTATTCTCATTACATTGTCCTTGTGTTATTCTCATTACATTGTCCTTGTGTTTATTCTCATTACATTGTCCTGTGTTTATTCTCATTACATTGTCCTTGTGTTATTCTCATTACATTGTCCTTGTGTTATTCTCATTACATTGTCCTTGTGTTATTCTCATTACATTGTCCTTGTGTTATTCTCATTACATTGTCCTTGTGTTATTCTCATTACATTGTCCTTGTGTTATTCTCATTACATTGTCCTTGTGTTATTCTCATTACATTGTCCTTGTGTTATTCTCATTACATTGTCCTTGTGTTATTCTCATTACATTGTCCTTGTGTTATTCTCATTACATTGTCCTTGTGTTATTCTCATTACATTGTCCTTTTGTTATTCTCATTACATTGTCCTTGTGTTGTTCTCATTACATTGTCCTTTTGTTATTCTCATTACATTGTCCTTGTGTTATTCTCATTACATTGTCCTTTTGTTATTCTCATTACATTGTCCTTTTGTTATTCTCATTACATTGTCCTTTTGTTATTCTCATTACATTGTCCTTGTGTTATTCTCATTACATTGTCCTTGTGTTATTCTCATTACATTGTCCTTTTGTTATTCTCATTACATTGTCCTTTTGTTATTCTCATTACATTGTCCTTTTGTTATTCTCATTACATTGTCCTTTTGTTATTCTCATTACATTGTCCTTTTGTTATTCTCATTACATTGTCCTTTTGTTATTCTCATTACATTGTCCTTGTGTTATTCTCATTACATTGTCCTTTTGTTATTCTCATTACATTGTCCTTTTGTTATTCTCATTACATTGTCCTTGTGTTGTTTAATCTGACTTTGCAGTTTTTATTTAAAAGTAGTAAACTGTTTTACGTTCCAAGAAAGGAGGCTGAAAACACACACCAATTTTTCTTCCCAAAACTTGCCTCCACCGCCTCTGTACAGAGGACAGTTTTTTTATCTTCAGACTTCAGAAGGGCATAATAGACTTCACTTGTAATCAAGATACATTTTTTCAAAGTAAGAGACACAGAGATGTGTTCTCTCCTCTTGGTGCTTCAAAATGCTGTAAACTGTTTGACAGAAAAGTCATCCTGTTTGCTCCCATCTCATTCAAGACATAGCTGTATGATTTGGACTGCACAGTAGCTTTCATCAAGGCTACTGGCCTCCTGATATGTTTAATCGATAAATATAGTGAAAGAAAACTTTTTTTTGTCATCAAAGGAAAATGTCTTGTATCAAACCTTCCTGTATCTTTTATTTAGAGTTCCGGATCTGGCAGTGGCGACAGCAAAGATGTGATTGAACTGACAGACAGCAACTTTGAATCGCTAGTTCTCAAGAGCCAGGACATGTGGTTGGTGGAGTTCTTTGCCCCGTGGTGTGGGCATTGCAAGAACCTGGCACCTCACTGGGCATCAGCTGCCACTGAACTGAAAGGCAAGGTGAAGCTGGGAGCTCTGGATGCTACTGTGCACACGGTTACAGCCAATAGATATGGGGTAGGTGTTATTTTATTCTGATATACTCTCACTAACTTTAACTGGTGGATGAATCCTCTAGAGCATTTTTCTTTAAGCAGCTTGCCGTGGGGGGGGGGGGGGGGGGGGATATCTGTCTAATCTTGTAGAAGGGTAGGATTTGTAGTTTTGAGTTTTGTTCCCTTCTACAATTACTGCCTGTAAGATATAACAACTCAAGGATGTGAGAGATATCTGTTTTATTCTGATATACTCTCACTAACTTTAACTGGTGGATGAATCCTCTGGAGCAGTGTTCTTCAACCAGCGGGCCGTGGGAAAAGTCTAGGCAGGGCTGCCAAAAATGTCTTGTCTAATCATGTAACAGGGTTGGATTTGTAGTTTTTTCCTCTTCTACCATTGCTCTCTGTAAGATATAACACCTCAAGGATGTGAGATTAGTATTTAATATCGAAGTCGGAGTGCATCTGCCTGAGAGGCAAGGAAACAACATTCTGCATACAGATTTGTCAAACGGATGCACACACAACACTCAGGTTCTGGAACAGGACTGCAGTCCACCCAGAACTTTCTGCCGGAGTTTACAGCTGGTGAACGCGAAGAAGGAGAAGTATTGAATATTTCCATGGAGCATTTATGGAGCTTCTCAGAAGAATACTCGAGCACCGGTGCAGAATATGGTTTAATTTCAAGCATCCTCAGCTTTTTTACCTCACACACACCATTCTCTGAAAGTAGGTTTTAGAGGATGAAGTTTCACCTCTGTTGAAGTGAATACAACTATGCTTTTTTTTTTTTTTTTTAAATAAGTGGTTATAAGCTTGTTTACATATGGACATGGTTTGTTGAAAAGGAGATTATGTTCATTTTCTTTGCAGTCATCGTCTGTAAAACTCCAGCAGAAGGTCCCGGGCGTTCGTCCACCTCCTGACTTTAGTCTTTTTTTTTCAGTTAAATGCACATCTGTTTCACAAATCTGGCTTATTTGTGTGCAGACTGTTGGTTCCTTGCCTCAGAGGCAGATGTACTCTGACTTTGAAGGATGACCCAGTTAGTTTATCCTTTGATGTCCTTATTGGGGAAGTAGGCGGTCTGATTTACCCACAGTGGGACTCCGCAACCCACATGAGGAGAGATCATGATTTATTTGCCTTTTATAACGTGTTTTTTTTCAAACTTAAATACTTTAAACATACTTGGTATGTGGATAATTTTTTAATCACCTACCTATGTATTATCAAAGTTGAATTATATTATTGATAAATTACATGCATTTGTATCTACAGAAAATCTGTACTTTCTGCTGTTTGTTTCCTTCAGGTCAGGGGATATCCCACGATTAAATTCTTCCCATCTGGTAAGAAAGATGGAGAAGCAGTTGAATATGATGGGGGCAGGACCTCAGGTGATATTGTTCGCTGGGCCCTTGATAAACTAGCAGAGAATGTGGCGCCACCAGAGATTCTTCAGGTAAGTTGTATATTGTCATGGTTCTAAAGATACTGGTATTCTTTTGCGTGCGTTCACCTAAAGATGTAAATGCCTTGTGCTAGTTTGCAAGATGGCTGCGATATTTGGGCCTTTCGGTCAACACATCCAACTTCTGCAAGTATTTGTTGCCTGAGTTACCATGGGACATTGCAGTCTCATTGCTCTGTCGTCTTTATTTCCTTCAGTTCACAGGTAGTGCCTTCGTCTTTGTTTCATACAGTTCACAGGTGGTGCCCTCTTTGTTTCCTTCAGTTCACAGGTAGTGCCCTCGTCTTTGTTTCCTTCAGTTCACAGGTAGTGCCCTCGTCTTTGTTTCCTACAGTTGACAGGTAGTGCCCTCGTCTTTGTTTCCTTCAGTTCACAGGAGGTGCCCTCGTCTTTGTTTCCTTCAGTTCACAGGTAGTGCCCTCGTCTTTGTTTCCTTCAGTTCACAGGTAGTGCCCTCGTCTTTGTTTCCTTCAGTTCACAGGTAGTGCCCTCGTCTTTGTTTCCTACAGTTGACAGGAGGTGCCCTCGTCTTTGTTTCCTACAGTTCACAGGTAGTGCCCTCGTCTTTGTTTCCTTCAGTTCACAGGAGTGCCCTCGTCTTTGCCACTCGTCTACAGTTGTTTCCTTCAGTTCACAGGACAGTAGTGCCCTCGTCTTTGTTTCCTACAGTTCACAGGTAGTGCCCTCGTCTTTGTTTCCTTCAGTTCACAGGTAGGTGCCCTCGTCTTTGTTTCCTACAGTTGACAGGTAGTGCCCTACAGTTCACAGGAGGTGCCTCGTCTTTGTTTCCTACAGTTGACAGGTAGTGCCCTCTTTGTTTCCTACAGTTGTTTCCTTCAGTTCACAGGTGGTGCCCTCTCTTTGTTTCCTTCAGTTCACAGGAGGTGCCCTCCTTCAGTTCACAGGTAGTGCCCTCGTCTTTGTTTCCTACAGTTCACAGGTAGTGCCCTCGTCTTTGTTTCCTACAGTTGACAGGTAGTGCCCTCGTCTTTGTTTCCTTAGTTTCACATGAGGTGCCCTCGTCTTTGTTTCCTTAGTTCACAGGCAGTGCCCTCGTCTTTGTTTCCTACAGTTGACAGGTAGTGCCCTCGTCTTTGTTTCCCTACAGGTAGTGCCCTCGTCTTTGTTTCCACAGGAGGTGCCCTCGTCTTGTTTCCTTCAGTTCACAGGTAGTGCCCTTCTTTGTTTCTTCAGTTCACAGGTAGTGCCCTCGTCTTTGTTTCCTTCAGTTCACAGGTAGTGCCCTCGTCTTTGTTTCCTACAGTTCACAGGTAGTGCCCTCGTCTTTGTTTCCTTCAGTTCACAGGTGGTGCCCTCTTTGTTTCCTTCAGTTCACAGGTAGTGCCCTCGTCTTTGTTTCCTACAGTTGACAGGTAGTGCCCTCATCTTTGTTTCCTACAGTTGACAGGTAGTGCCCTCGTCTTTGTTTCCTACAGTTCACAGGTAGTGCCCTCTTTGTTTCCTACAGTTCACAGGAGGTGCCCTCGTCTTTGTTTCCTTCAGTTCACAGTAGGTGCCCTCGTCTTTGTTTCCTACAGTTGACAGGTAGTGCCCTCGTCTTTGTTTCCTTCAGTTCACAGGAGGTGCCCTCGTCTTTGTTTCCTTTGACAGGTAGTGCCCTCGTCTTTGTTTCCTACAGTTCACAGGTGGTGCCCTCGTCTTTGTTCACAGGAGGTGCCCTCGTCTTTGTTCTTCAGTTCACAGGCAGTGCCCTCGTCTTTGTTTCCTTAGTTCACAGGTGGTGCCCTCGTCTTTGTTTCCTTAGTTCACACAGTGCCCTCGTCTTTGTTTCCTACAGTTGACAGGTAGTGCCCTCGTCTTTGTTTCCTTAGTTCACATGAGGTGCCCTCGTCTTTGTTTCCTTAGTTCACAGGCAGTGCCTCGTCTTTGTTTCCTTAGTTCACAGGCAGTGCCCTCGTCTTTGTTTCCTACAGTTGACAGGTAGTGCCCTCGTCTTTGTTTCCTACAGTTGACAGGTAGTGCCCTCGTCTTTGTTTCCTACAGTTCACAGGTAGTGCCCTCTTTGTTTCCTACAGTTCACAGGAGGTGCCCTCGTCTTTGTTTCCTTCAGTTCACAGTAGGTGCCCTCGTCTTTGTTTCCTACAGTTGACAGGTAGTGCCCTCGTCTTTGTTTCCTTCAGTTCACAGGAGGTGCCCTCGTCTTTGTTTCCTACAGTTGACAGGTAGTGCCCTCGTCTTTGTTTCCTTCAGTTCACAGGAGGTGCCCTCGTCTTTGTTTCCTACAGTTGACAGGTAGTGCCCTCGTCTTTGTTTCCTACAGTTCACAGGTGGTGCCCTCTTTGTTTCCTTAGTTCACAGGAGGTGCCCTCGTCTTTGTTTCCTTCAGTTCACAGGAGGTGCCCTCGTCTTTGTTTCCTTAGTTCACAGGTGGTGCCCTCGTCTTTGTTTCCTTAGTTCACAGGCAGTGCCCTCGTCTTTGTTTCCTACAGTTGACAGGTAGTGCCCTCGTCTTTGTTTCCTTAGTTCACATGAGGTGCCCTCGTCTTTGTTTCCTTAGTTCACAGGCAGTGCCCTCGTCTTTGTTTCCTTAGTTCACAGGCAGTGCCCTCGTCTTTGTTTCCTACAGTTGACAGGTAGTGCCCTCGTCTTTGTTTCCTACAGTTGACAGGTAGTGCCCTCGTCTTTGTTTCCTACAGTTCACAGGTAGTGCCCTCTTTGTTTCCTACAGTTCACAGGAGGTGCCCTCGTCTTTGTTTCCTTCAGTTCACAGTAGGTGCCCTCGTCTTTGTTTCCTACAGTTGACAGGTAGTGCCCTCGTCTTTGTTTCCTTCAGTTCACAGGAGGTGCCCTCGTCTTTGTTTCCTACAGTTGACAGGTAGTGCCCTCGTCTTTGTTTCCTACAGTTCACAGGTGGTGCCCTCTTTGTTTCCTTAGTTCACAGGAGGTGCCCTCGTCTTTGTTTCCTTCAGTTCACAGGAGGTGCCCTCGTCTTTGTTTCCTTAGTTCACAGGTGGTGCCCTCGTCTTTGTTTCCTTAGTTCACAGGCAGTGCCCTCGTCTTTGTTTCCTACAGTTGACAGGTAGTGCCCTCGTCTTTGTTTCCTTAGTTCACATGAGGTGCCCTCGTCTTTGTTTCCTTAGTTCACAGGCAGTGCCCTCGTCTTTGTTTCCTACAGTTGACAGGTAGTGCCCTCGTCTTTGTTTCCTACAGTTCACAGGTAGTGCCCTCGTCTTTGTTTCCTTCAGTTCACAGGAGGTGCCCTCGTCTTTGTTTCCTTCAGTTCACAGGAGGTGCCCTCGTCTATGTTTCCTACAGTTGACAGGTAGTGCCCTCGTCTTTGTTTCCTTCAGTTCACAGGAGGTGCCCCACATGAGGTCGGTGCAGCACAGCCACGGAGTGCTGGTCACCACTCAAGAGAAGGCAGGGGGAGAAACACAAGAATTCTGTTTTATCAAGGAGGCTTCCATAAATGCAAGGCCAACACTTGATGCTCTGTTACTAGGCTCACCCAAGAAATCATCATGTCCTGCTTGTGACTGTTTAACATCACTTCCATATATTGAGAAACTTTTTACTGCAGTGTACTTCCATGTCCACTGAAGTTTCATAAGACATTTTACTTGTAGATGCCTAGGGCAGTCGCTGTGGCAGTATACGGACATGTGGGTCTGTTTTATTTTTCCCCACTTCATAGTTTCTGAACTCTGCATCACTATCGTCTGGAAAGACGGAAAAGTGCCAGTGACATCTTCAGGGACAACTAGCTCCGAAATTCTAGATCCTGGGAAAGAAAAGTGAAGGGCTCTTTTCCACACTTTTAGGCATATATGGCCAGACCTATATTTTATAGACCAGATGACACTCGGTGAGTGATGTGGTCAGCATCTAGGCCGACTATCTTCCCAGGACTATCCTGATGGCACACCCAAGACTGAGTTGACCTAAGGTAATTTTTTTTTTTTTTTAATATTCCCCCTCCGTCAGGACCCGAACCTATGACCTACCGATCTGCAGGCAAGCTTCTAGCCGCTACACCAGGGTGGCTCCCAGTAAATGAAAAAATAGATCAGATGAAATATACTGACCAAATGAAAAGACATAAAGACATATCTAAAATAAAGCATAATTGGCGAGAGAAGCTGAGGGAAGGTGAGCACGAGGTAGGTAGTTTGTTCTGCAAATGGGAGATTACCATCGAGAGAGGAAGTCAAAATTCAGGTCAAGAGGATTGACCTCATTGCATCAGGTATTATCCCATACAGCTCGACCTCTCTCTGCAGCATGGCTAGCCACCTGCTGAGAGCATCGTACAGAGCATGAACTCTGTGGCTTCAGTGATGATCCCCGGTAATCTCTTTAAAAATTGCACTTGTAAACTGAACCACACCTCCATGAAATTAACCCATAACCTTCAGAGTGCCAGGCAATGTCTTGATCACTTTACCACTGATGATCCCTCCCTCTTCCCACCCCCCCCCCCCCCACCCCCAACATCAAGAGATAGAGAGATAGATGAACAGTAGTTTCAGAATGTGCAACCAAGGCTAGATGCAGAGAGTATTGGAGATAATGCTATTGATAATGTTTTCCTTTGAAATTTGTCTTCGGTTTGTTTTTTTCTGTTTAAATATTTGTGCTACCACTAAACCATGGCCTGTGTTTACAGCTGACGGACGACTCTGTACTACACACAGCTTGCGATGAACATCAGCTCTGCATCATCTCCGTGCTGCCTCATATCCTCGACTGCCAGTCTAAGTGCAGGAATGACTACCTCAGTGTTCTGAGGAAGCTGGGAGAAAAGTACAAGAAGCAGCTGTGGGGGTAAGTAGTCATCATCATCATCAGCTTCCACTTTTGTTCTTAACTCTCTCAGTCCCAAGGAACACATCATACGCTGATAGGTTCCTACCTAGAAACCCACTGAACGCAAGATGCACCATTTTACGTCTCTCTTGACTACCCTTGGGCCTCTGATGCTAAACCCCCTAGGACTCAGAGTTAAGTGTCATGGGAATGAACAGTATACAGTGATGGGTGGCACTGGCCATTGTTTACCATGTCAGCATATCATGTGTTAAATGTCATGTGTTGGATTCCAGGTCACTGTGGCTTAGAGGGCAATGAAAGAGCGGACAGAGTGGCCACAAGCAGCATTGACATGGTGCAGTAAAACAGTGACCTAACCCACCAGGAGGTTAAGAAAATAAAAACTAGTATCCAAGAAAGGTGGCTGGATACATACACCAGATTTTCTCCCCAAAGCTGACTTCATCACTTCTCTAGAGAAAGAGACAAGTGTGTCATATTCGGGCAGAACAGACTTCTCCAACATAGGTTTAGGTTTTTTTGGGTGTAAAAAACATGGCCTCCTGTAGCCTTGCACTTTCTCAGCACTTCACATCTATTTGACAGTATGTAAAAAAAATGTGTAGGCGTTGATGGTTAAGAGATTATAAAATCAGTTTTATAATTCTGACATACTATGTTCGATCCAGCTGCAGGAGACATACCAGCACTTTATGTTGATTTTCATTTAAAGGTATGGGCATGGAGCTGATAAGAAAGCAGCGGCAAACTGCACAGTGTACAAATGTCCTTGTAAAAAAAAAAAACACAGCCAGCGTGTTTAAAATAGGCAACAAATTGTAAAGTTAGGTGTTAGCCTTGTTGGCCAAATTTGTCCAGTTAGATAATATAGCATGTATCCACGTGATTAAGATAGACTTTTCTTTGTCTTATCTTGCCAAACACTAGGTGGGTGTGGGCGGAGGCTGGGCAGCATCTAGCACTTGAGGAAAGTCTTGATATTGGTGGATTTGGTTACCCTGTAAGTAATCTTTTGTTTAAGTATTTAATTAATAAATGTCAACATTTTTAAGCCTGCTTGTTTTGTATACATCATCGTCTCGTAACACTGCGTGTCGTTGGGTCACCAGTTTCTGTCGACTGTCTGATCAGCTCTCTCCACCTTTAGCGGTCAGTTGTGATGGACTTCATGGTTGCATGCATGAGGCCTGTCCAGTCAGTCAGGTTCTGTAACCAGGTTTTTCTTGGTCTGTCTCTTCTCCTCTTTCCCTCTACTGAACCCTACAGTATTGTTTTTGTGAGGCCTTTAGATCTTGTTACATTACATCTCCATACCATTGCATTTTTCGCTTTTTCACCGTAGTTTAAAAAGGTTCATAGTTGTCAATGTGCTGAATAATTTATGGCGAACCTCTACATTTGTGATGTGGTCTCTGTATGATGTGCCAAGAATTTTTTTTAAGCATTGCATTGTATCTTCCTTTCGAGTTCAGCTATTAAGGTCTACATTTCACAGTTTTGTCTACATCATCATGACATAATCATGAAGATAATTAAAACTGTTTTGTCAAGCCTGTAGCTCAGTATATCTACTTTTGACGGATATTTATTCATGTTTACTTTCTCTTGTGCGGCTGTGTGGCCTAGTGGTCAGTGAAATGGTTTCACAGTGCAATCCTGGACAGGGTTTGATTGCTGCAATGGGTGGTTTAGAAAAAAGACTGTTCTCGTGGCTTTCAGAGAGTGGTACGAGAGTGGCCCTGCGGAAGAGATTGGGGCCTCACCACAGAATATTTCCATAGTAAGTTGCGAATACATTGCAACCATCCTCCATTGTGGGGAATGGCAGCAGTTTTTTTTTTTCCTAGCCTTTGTTGCCAGTCAACCTACAAGGCAGCAAATGAAAGTGAGCACAGAAGGAGCAGACAAAAGAAATCCGGGACAGGTCACCTACAAGAATGGAGATGGTGATAATAGCCTGTGGGCAAACTAGAATTAATCCAAATCCTGTTGCCAAGAGAAATCTGCTTTCCTGGCATGTAGGAGTTTTTGATGACATGAAGTCTTTGGACAGTGACCACTACATCTGTATAACAGCTTTGGTGCTGGTTGCAACTACCTTGTTGGTAGATTAGATAGATAGACAGACAGACAGGCAGAAAGACAGACATGCACACACAAACACAGAAATTATTTGATGTGGAAAAAAATTAATTGGGAAGTCATAATTACATCATAATAATATCATTGTGACATCATTTTCATCATCATCAGTTCTCGTTATGTCTAGTGGCACATGAGGTTTCAGAGAGGACTTCCCATGCTTTCCTTTCCTGTGCAATCTTCAGTGCAGTTTTCCATGTCAAAGATGCCGCACTCAGGTCACTTTCCATCGTTCGTCTCCATGTTGTTTTTGGGCGCCCCTGTTTTCTCTTTCCCTCTGGTGTCCATGTGAGAGCTGTTTTGGCAGGTATATCAGAAGTCATTCTCAAAACGTAGCCAAGCCATTTCCATCTTCTCTTGGTAATTATACTGTCTAAAGTTTTTTGGTTTGTGGCTTGAAGTAGTTTAGTGTTTGAGATTGTATCTGGCCAGAAAATTTTGATAATTCTACGTAGACATGTGTGGTGGAAGGTGGACAGCTTGCGTGCATCCTTTTTGGTAATTCTCCAGCATTCCCCTCCATAAAGAAGAACTGGCAAAATGATGCTCTTGTAGAGTCGGAGTTTCGTTCCTCTGCAGTCATTGCTGGATTTCCAGATTGTGACATCATGTTTGCTCCATGTTAAGTCAACAAAATCATGTTCATCACGGTCAGACTGCAGGAAAGCAGTTATAACCTTTACTCTGTTTGTCTTAGTGATTTATTCCCTTACATTACAAATTAAAGTTCGCTTTAAAAAAATATGTACTCATTAATATGAATTATATTAGTTCTTTCATGGTTGCGATTACACAGTGACAATCACACTTGCCTTTCTGCTCTGAAGTCATATATTTCAGCCGCCGGGATTAAAAAATTTTTTTTTTTAATTTCTTTTCAATTGTTGCTGTTTAATTTCAGGCCCTGGCAGCTGTCAATTCTAGAAAAATGAAGTTTTCACTTCTAAAGGGCTCCTTCAGTGAAAGTGGCATTAATGAGTTTTTAAGGTAACATTTAACCAATGTTTTCTTGTTCAGTATTTATCTTTGGTAAACTGTCCTAAAATGTTAGAGCACAGTACAGTATTAGTGATCTTTACTTTTGGGAGTTGCTGTGTCTAGATGCTCACCATGGATCAGAAGGTCGCTTGACTTTTTTTAAAAAGGACCTCGATCCCAGGTCAACCCAGCCTTGAGTGGGGACCGGGTGCAGTCCCGGGAAGTAAAGGCAGCTGGCGTGATGCTGACCACATCACCCATCTTTGTGTTCTGGATTAGTTCTGTGGATATCACTCTGCCAGCAACTTAGACCATCCAACATCATCTCTCTCTGACTACCCTTGCCTAATCTACCACTAATGCGAATCAGATATATGTATAATATAAATTACTATTGAATGGAATTAATGTACTCTCTATGTGGAGTCGGAAGTCCCATGGGGAGGGGGGGTGGCTTTTGAGGAGAGATTTAGACCCATTGACCTTTACTCAGCATGTTGTAAATGGTGAATGATTCAAGGTTTAGCTGAAATGGAATATCTTGGGCCTAAAGGCACAGATTGCATAGTCTAGCTGTAAACTGCAACATAGCATGCAAACTGCCCTTTTATGTGTGAATACAGAAGAATAAGAAGAAAAATTATTGTTTATACAATTGTTGTGGACAGAAATCAGTTTTAATATTACTTCTATAGAGACCCACAGCATATAACCAGGATTGTCAACTTTCTATGAACTAACATGTTTTCATTGTCTGCTTTAGGGACCTCTCTTACGGTAAAGGATCGACGGCTCCCTTGAAAAACGCCAAGTTGCCCAAAATAGAGACAGTCGAGCCATGGGATGGAAAAGATGGAGTGGTAAGTCTTCTCCTTAGTTTTTTGTTTTTTTCCCCCCGCCCCTAGCAATCTGTAACTATTATCTTGAGGGTAGAAAGGATGATTTACTCTTGATTTACCATGTAGTGGGGAGATCTTTCTCTCTTAAGCGTTCTCTGGTTGTAAAGTGGTCGAGTTTTGATCTGGCTTATTTGTATGATTACTGTTGGTTTCTTGTCTCTTAAGCAGAGGCACTCCAACTGCGAAGGAAACAACCCTCATTAGTCACCTGTTACAGGGGCAGTGGGTCTCCCCGACCCATTCCCCCCCTTCCAAAATGGGATCCCTGGAACCCACACGAGGGAATGTGTGTCTTTGTTTCTGTTATAATCTAGGTTTGTGGTCAAGCAGCAGTTCTTGTGCTCTACTTGAGATATCATGGGAAGATTCCAGTTTGGTTGAGCATTCTCTCCCTCTCTAAAGTCAAGTGTGCCTGTCTCACTGGTGTTAAACCTACCAAGTTATTTCCTCTTGAGCCATCTATTACCATTCTAGACCTAGTGTTGCATGTGTGCACTCAAGTATGGCATATTTCTGGCACACCGTTGGAACAAATTCTGTAAGCCTTGACTTCCCTTAGTGAGAAAAAACGTTGGCGGATTTGCCATGGCTCTAGCTATTGTGGTCTTTTATGCTTGTGATGAGATGTTCTTCTCTGAATGTCGCAAGGTATTCTTTCCTGCTTGTTGGGGAGTGCCTTTTATCTTTTGATAGAACGTAAGTGCTGCGCCAACTCACATGCCAAGCACTTTGTTGACCTGTGTATGACTGGCTGAATCGTGCATCTAAAGATTTCTAAGAGACTTGTTAGCCAGTCTCAAGTGAGGAGGCACATCCTGCAGCTGCCTGATAGACTGATAATAGCATTCAGAAAGCAATAGCAAACTATTCAACAACCAAATACCCAGGAAAACCTCACAGAAAAGTTGTTTGTTTGTCCCGAGTCAACAGCTAATATGTGTGTGTCTGTGAATGTATGTATGTATTAATGTACGTATAGTGTAATAATCTTGACTGCATCAGCTATCAATATGAGATAGCTGATGTAGTAAAGATGATTGGTTCATTTGTCACGTATTGCTGACTCTAAATATGAAGGTCGCTCTCAACTAAGTGGCGTACCTCTGGTCTGTATTGTGTGACTGCAGTCGTTACTTTCTGATACATAGTTCTGACTTTCCAATAACCAATTTTGAAGATGTCCTTAGATTTATCAAGCCCCAACGAAGCATCATAACATTTAGAGCTAGAAATAGGATCCTAAAACAAAGGATGTTTTACGATGTCGGGTTGTCAACCAAAAATCTAAAGCCAGGCTAGAGGAAAACACATCCCGCCGTCTTGACCTAAACCAGAACTGAAGAGAAAACGGGAAAGCCCCCCCCCCCCCCCCCCCCCCCCCGTAGAATCATCATCGGTGAAGGCTTAATCATGGGCCTAATAAACATCCAAGACCTAAAACAGGCAACAAACCGCCAGACATAGAGAGCTATGATCTATGCCCTATGTGTAACCCTAGGCTCAAAGGGAAAGACTATCTAACTCATTGTTACTTAACACCAAGGCTATTTAACAAGCGGACCGCGGAGGCTTAGCAATTAGTACACTGATCCTTGCAAATTGTATCAGTGACCTTTCTATGGTGGGGCTCTGGCCCATGACAGTCCCCATTTTTTAAGTTTTGATCCCTGGGTGAACTTAGTTGAAAATAAAAGCCCTGTTTTACACTAAACATTTACACATACGCACAAACACATCAGCTGTTGGCCCATAAGATGTGTATTCTGTGAACTGAATGTTGCAGAATTTCCAGTATTTTTTGGCTGTTTGGTTTGATTAGGCAATGTAACTTTCAGTAATTTGCATTTGCTTCCTGAACGGTCAGCTCCTAAAATCAATTTTGAAATCAGTGCAAAGTGATCTGCTGCCAGATCACCTGCAGCTGGAATCAAACCAGGTACCTCACAGTTATGAAGCACATACGCAAAGCTCTAAGCCACATGTGCCGACAAAAGCATAAAACAACCAACAGATGCTGGAATTGGTTTGCAGCAGCATGTAAAGGATATGCAGCTAACTTTAACTTTTAGACTACCTTGTTACTTTGTTTTTCTGAAGATACTGTTACAAACACATAGTTATCCGCTGACGCTTTTCTATTCAAAGGAATAAATGCATAGTTACCCGATAGTGCATAGTTACCCGATAGTGCATAGTTACCCGATAGTGCATAGTTACCCGATAGTGCATAGTTACCCGATAGTGCATTTTTATTAGTTGACGATAAAGCATGTATGTCTGAAAACTATCGATGGCCCAGATGCAGAAGCACTGTAAACTGAATGTTTAAACCCTAGTGTATTTTGTTGCGCAGTTTGAAAAATTTCACTCATTAAGTTACACAAATTTTGAATTTCACAATAATGCTCTTTTCACTAGCTACCTGTTTCATTATTTGAACAGGAAAGCGCCATCCGCTTTTTTTTTTTTTTTTTTTTTAAACTGTATAGTAACGCATTATAGGAAGCAAAATAAAATAAAATTTATCATCCTCCTCAATTGGCACATCCTCCGTTAAGTGTCGGGGAAGGAACAGATTGTGATCCATTGCTTGATAGGCAGCAATGGCTATTGTCATTCTGTGTCGATGTAGAAGCTCTTTAATGTCATCAGTCTATCTTCTCCTAGGGCAACTTCTTGATTTCACTTCAGATTTGGGCTGCGTGGTCTAGAGGCATGGTGTCCGCCTCGAGTGCTAGAGGTTCCGAGTTCAGTCCCCGGTAATGGCTGGGACTTTTTCACGTGGACTTGGAATTCTAGTAATTCCTCCTGGTCTCTGGGTAGTGAAGTGAGATTGGACACCCGTGTGCATGGTTGCGCACATTAAAAAATCCCTTGGTAGTTGGAAATTGAAAAGAGTAGCCTAACAGCCTTGACCAGGCAATTTGGAGTTTAAAATCCACCCAAAGTATTTTGGATTCCTCGTTGGTGCTACAGAGCCTTTGCACTGTGCTGAGCTTTTTCGGACTCAGACTTGAATAGGAAATAGAACGGAGCACTTATGGGTTAAACCCATGTGCCATGATGTTGATCCGTTGTTCAAAATCTAAAATATCTCCAACTGCACATCTTTTCATGTGTAGTTCCTGCATTAGTAGCTGTTCTTTCTGGCAAATAAAGGACAGTGTTTATGCCACTGTTGCGTCAGGCAAATGATGCTGAAATAATATCTGCAGACCAATCAGCACTGATTGTGGCCGCCTTTTCTTCCCTGGACATTGCCTGATACCCGTGTGAAGCTGGGAGCTGCAATTAATTTTTTTTTAAATCTCCCCCCCCCCCCCCCCCCAAATGAAGATTTGAACCCTAGACCTTTGGGCCTACAACAAAGCTAATATAATATGCCTTTGAGCAAGATAATAATGAAGAATAATTCTGTGCAGATATTTAATTCACAAAGTCAACTGTGTATCAGTATTTTATAATTGGGAGCCATCAGGGTGTAGCGGCTAGAAGCTCGCCTGTGGCGCGGAAGGTTGTGGGTTTGGGTCCCGTGGAGGAAGCCTTAAAAAAATAAGGATGGGCTTCCAGGTCAAGCTAGCTAGCCTTCAGTGGGTGCCAGGTAAATTCCTGGGAGATAAAGGTGGCTGGCATGATGCTGACCACATCACCCACTGAGGGCCGATTCGTCTGTAAATGTAGGTCTAGCCCTATATGCCCAGAACGCAAGAGCGCCTGGAAAAGGGTCCCTTACTTTTTTGTTGGTGTAAACTTTTTTCATAATTGTCTTGTCTAATTTCCACAGCTGGAAGTGGAGGATGATGATGTCAGCGACGTGGACCTTGAGGATCTGGACAAGGATGAGTTGTGAGAGGATCTGAAGCACACACTAGGCACATCACACCGTATATTTACTGGCTGCATCATCTGGTCATTATCATATTATCATCATCATTGTTCACCAACATTACAGTTGTCATCTTTGTTTACCTACTACTGATTTACATGTTAATTATAATGTAACTATCATCATCGTATTTGTTTTGGTTTTTTTAGCTGGTGTCCACTCCTAAAAGGGTGACTTTCACATTGTATTGTGGTTGATTTACAGCAGGGCTGTTCAGCTAATTTTAATTGGGAGCCAAAACAAGAAAAAAAAAGGACTGTCACATGCCAGAAGCTCCCATCACAGAAAGATCATTAATTCTGTCAGTGAGCCACGGGACATTTGTCTGTGGGCCAGATTCTGGATACGGGCCCTCGGTTGGATAGCCCTGATTTACAGCTAGGCTTCAATATTTGCACCTTTTCATTAAACACATCCGATTTCAGTCAGCCTTGAATTAGTTGCCTTTTACAGCATGTTTATTAACTCTTTCAGTCCCAAGGAAGGCATCATATGTTTACAGGTTACTACCTAGAAGCCCAGTGAACGAAAGATGCTCTGATTTTACGTCTCTCTTTACTATCCCTTGGGCATTTGATGCTAAAAACCCCTTTGGACTAAAAGGGCCAGTGGATAAATCCCCCCTCCGAAAAACACAAATATAAGTTCAGCTTCCCACCCCCAAGTCCACACGGGAAGACTCACCATCTCAGGCACTCACTTGATACTTGTATCTGTTGTGTAGTCATCTATGGTTCTGATTGATTGCATGCGGAATGTTGTATATGAGAGCTGATGGGATATGGCTGGTAAATTCTTTTGTTGCTTAAACTGATATTTACAGAAGTGACCATTTACATGTGTTTTATTGAAACACATTTTTTTAATGGATATCTTTCACACAAAGCTACATGCCAGCTATATGCTTTTTCGGAAGGAAGAAAATTTTTGGTGGACTCTTTGCTAATGACTGAGGTGTTACATGGTGAGGTCAGTATCTTCCATGTTAGGTTGCCATTGGAGAGAAACAATCAATGAGCTTTGATAGTAATGGTTATGACATTTGTGGCTGAGTGGTCTCAATGCATGGCATCTGCCTTGAATGCTGGAGCTCCCAGATTCAAGCCCTGGTGGAGATTAGGATTTATTCATGTAGACTTCTGGTAATTTCCCCTGGTCTCTGGGCAGTAAGACCGGACACCCATGTGTGTTGTTGTGCGCTTAAAAAAATCTCTTGGCAGTCGGGAATCGAAAAGAGTAGCCTAATTGCACTGCCAGTGCGAAATTTGGAGTTTAAAATCTACCCAAAGTATTTCAGGATCCTCGCCGGTGCTACACAGCTCGTGCACTGCGCTGAGATTCTTCGGACATAGGCTCGAGTTAGAAGTAGAACGGAGCACTTATGGGTTCCCACCCTTGTGCCATGATGTTGATGCATTGATAAACAAGATGTTTATGGCATCTTTATCTCTCCAGGGCATATTTGATTTCTATAAGTGATAGTTAACCAGATTTCTGATGTCTTTATGAATAGTTTACCAGGTCATTTGAGTTATCTTTATAAAATAGTTTACCAGTACATTTATGCTGTCTGTATGTGAGGCTAGGAAAGAAAAGTCTCTGTTAATCGTTAAAAGTGAATATGCTTGTACTGTCATTACTGCGACTGCTGCTATCTCTGCTGGTGTTATATAATAAACTGTGTTTGTTGAGATTATGAATATGAAATCATATGTGTTTGTTTGTTTGTTTCTTTGTTGTTGTTGTTGTTTTTTAATAGTGTTTTTATAATTTACATTGATAATATATGAGCTGAATTCTGCATCTGGCATGAATCTAGTTTCTTCTCCATTGTTTATTGACCAATCTTCCTCAGTTCTATCGCTGATTTATAACATCAGACCCCCTGTGTGGATCATTGAACCCCATTATGGGAAAACAAGAACAGACCCACTGCAACCCCTAAAAAGCATATCATAGGAGTCGACTAATTATGGATTTCCTTCAGAGTGCATCTGTGAGGAACCAACAGTCTGCATACAAATGTGCTGGATCTATAAAACTGATATGCACGCAACACTCAGGTTCTGGAACAAGACTAAAGTCCAGAAGTGGATGAACAACCAAAACTTTCCGCCAGAGTTTACAGCCATTGAGCGCAAAGAAGCGGCAGCTCAGACATTGTTGTTTAACTCTTTCAGTCCCAAGGGGTTTAGCATCAGTGGCCCAAGGGATAGTAAAGAGAGACGTACAGTTGGCACATCTTGCATTCGTTGGGCTTCTGGGTAGAAACCTATGATCCCAAAATGGATTCCTTGAAAATGACTAATTATAAAAGTTTTTTTTTTTTTTGGTTACATAAATGGCATATCAGGTTTACAATGTGTGACTTAATTTATAGACCAGTGATTTCCAAACTGTGCGCTCCGGGGAACCTCGACCTCTTCACAGGGGCATCGCGAAATATTGAAAAAACTTCATAATTAATTTAACCAAGACACGAATAGTCATACTTTTATTTAGGTTAGGGTGCCATGGAAACATTTTAATTGAAAAAAGGCGCTGCGACCAAGAAAGTTTGGAAAGCACTGATATAAACCAATCCCTATGGGGTTGTATTGCTGATCTATTATCTCAATAATTTCAATAGTGTATTAAAAAGTATCTGCCCTTGTTTACGCTAGTGGCCCATCGAGCATATGATGCTTCTCTCCATGTTTTAAAGGGCATTTGTTAACTTTTTTTTTTTCCAACTTTATATTGTATCCAGCCTCATTCAGAAATTAACTGTGCACATATATGTTGTACTGTGTATAAGTTACGTTGAGAGCCTTCCCAGTTAACTTACATTAAATGCTTCTTGGTGGGGTGTTTTATTGCTTTGTGGCATGTATAAGTGCCATATTTTTCTGGTTTGTTTGCATCTGATTCTTGTTTATGTCACAAGTAACAAATAAAGTAGTTCTTCTTCTTTTGTTCACTTAAAAAAATATATCTCTGCAATGTTGTCTCTAGTATGAACTTCACTGTCTTTTGCAATTCACTCAGCCACCTGTAAAATTTAGGACTTGCACCAATGTCTCTCTTGGCCAAAAGTTTTGCCTTGACATGTTGTACTTGGGAGAGTCTTGGAAGACATAATCCATTGTCTCCGGTGCCAATCCACATGTGCACATGGCTGATTCGCAGATTTTAAATTTTGTGTGCATGAGGCTGCGAAGTTGACTGTTTCCTGTTCTAAACTAGAAGTAATAAAAAAAATAGATGATGTTAGTGAATGCATTCCACAACCCTTGAGCGCTGGGGTTTGATTTCCTTTATGGGTGGTTTTTTTTTTCTTCCCCCAAACCTTTCTTGTGGTTTTGGCAGTCCTACGAGAGTCGCACCGTGGAAGATATTGGAGCCCCACCACATAATATTCTTAAAGACAACAGTTAATGTGGTAGCCAATATTTTTTGTGGCGATGGCACTTCAATATTCTTTTGTGGGTGGTGTTATCTTATTTTATATATATATATATATATATATATATATACACACACATACATATATATATATATATATACATATATATATACACACATACATATATATATATATATACACATATATATATACACACATACATATATATATACATATATACACATATATATATACACACATACATATATATATATATATACACATACACAAGGTCCGACAATAAAGTAATGAGACTGATTTTATTATGGCCAAGACAAAAATGCCATCTATGAAACAAAGTATGGAATCCAAAGAGGCAACCTTTTTCTATGATCTGGCAACTTTTCATCGCCGCCCGATAAGCAGACAACAAACAAGCCGCCATTTTGTTGACCTAGTCAGAGGTGCATTGTTACGCTAATCAGAATTGAGCAAAAAGCTAACATTAAATTCTGAGTTAAGAATTTGCATAAGAAACTTGTTGAGAAAACCTGATAATAGTATAGCTAGAATATTCTTATACTGGAAGCCAAAGGGTTAAAGATATAGAGGATAGGCTAAAAACATGGAGATGAGAATTAGAGACATAAGGAATATTTAGTTAGTCAAACTACAGTTTAACCTTATCGCACTTTCAACTAGTCCATAAGCACTAGGATCCCAACTTCAGTATGTCCCCCAGCGTGTTGGTTTACTATTCTTCTTTGGCTGGTGAGTTCTTATCAATTCTGGACTGTATTAACAAAAGAAGAAATATAAATGATGTAAGGAAGACATGGCGAGGTTGCTGGAGGTGGCTGAAGATGAACATGACTTGGCAGGAGTTGGTTGCCGACCATGGCTCCAAAGGGAAATAAGGTGCAGAAAAATTTGATAATACTAGCTGGGAACAGTTTTTGTATACAAACATACACCTCACAATGCTATGTCGTGTCGCATGAAACTATCTGGGAAGTTAACCCGGTGGCACTCTTCCGAATACCGGTCCCAAATTATTCACTGCCGAAAAACATCCCTCAGGAGGTTATGTAGTAAAACCGTTTAGGCCATCATGATCAGTTTCCACTTATGCCGTTATTGCTCGCTGGATATCAATGTTTAGACGTTAAGTTAAGCGCCGTGGGGAGGAATCGTTTTTGATCCATAGAAGCGACGTGGAAAAGAATAGATTTAGATCCATTGTTTAAGCGGCTTGGGGAGGAATAGAGTTCGATCCATTGAAGCGACGTGAATAATTTTTGATCCATTGTTTACATTACCCATTACTGCCCTTGCGGGGGGTCCAGGGCCAAATATTTTAGGGGAAAGAAAAAATAGATCCACTGCCACATAAAAGTTGTAAAAGGCGACTAATTAGGACTGCTGAAATCGGATGCTTTGGGGCAAAGGGCGCAGATATCGCAGCCTAGCTGTAAACCACAACACAACGTGAGAACCATTCTTTCAAGAGCGAACGAAGTTTACCTACCCGTGACATTATCATTGAGCATCTCGCCGCCGCTATCGCAGCCTAGCTGTG